CCACAGAAATAACTAAAATCCTCATCTCTTCATAAATATTAATGTAGCTACGTAGCCATCCTAGTAGTCACAAAATTATGTGATTATGTATTTTATTCCTCCATTAAATTATTATTATTTAAAACATTTCATTAAATTATTATTATTTAAAACATTTTACACTGAGTATATTTTGCCTTTTCAAGAATTTATCACCTAATCCTACCTGATTGTATTAAAGTAAGAAATTTTAGAATGCAGTAACTTATAGGTTTATTGAAAAATCTCAACCTCAAGTTAGACTAACAAAATTAAGTGAAATCTGAGTTCTAACTAGTATAATGTCATGTGGATGTGTTTAACAATACTTTTGAAATAAAATTGATCTTTACAATGATGTCCTAGAATATGTTACATAAGTGCATTTAAGATTATCCGCTTTGGCTGAATAATGCTGTTCATTTTTTGTAGCAAAAATTTTTTTAAATCGGACAGTTTTTTGTGTCAGCATTATATGTTGATCTTTGGTAAAGCAACAGAATTTGATTCTTTCAGTTATCACAGAACCATGAATGTCTAAATGAGCCTTAAGAATCATCAATAACCAGATTCGTTCATAAGCTAGCCTTTATTTTCTTGGTGAGTTAAGCCGTACCTGAATGCTTAATAATACTGTTTCAGATGTGCCTTCCCTGGTGGCTCTCCGTTGCTTGGTATTATGGACTTCAGACTTGTGACAGCGCGTCTGCTGTGACGGCCGCGGGCGGGCGTAGGTGCCAGCATCTCAGATGGGCTGCTGGGTGTGGCGTGGATGCGAGGAGGTGTCCTTGATCAGACCTCAGATCCTTCTTTCTCAGAGTAGCCCGTCCAGTTCCAGCTCTGGTTCTTCATCTTAACATTACTGTCTCTAGTGGCCTTATGGGAAAGAGCAAAGAAAACAGTTACCAAAATGACCTTTTCAGAAGTTAAATGCTTCAGGGAAAGGTCTAACCCGCGGAGAAGACGGCTTCATACGGTCTAGGGAGCGGGAATGCGCTCGTCGTACGTCGTCCTCTTCTGTTCAAGAGTGATAGAACATCGTTTGGTCTAGACTTTGGCTTGGGTTGTTAACTGTTTGCCCGAAAGAGTGTGTTTGATGAGGCATCCTTCAGGAAGTCGCGGGGGGGTTGGCTCGGGGATGCACTGGTGTGTATTCATATACCCAGGGACGGAGGCTTTGATGGCTGCTCTTTTGATGACCGCCTTGTCCTCTTTCCTTCCTGTCGCGTTCATGTGTTTCATAGTTTATCCCCTGAAGTGCCCCGCACAGGTGAGCATTGGCCGGCCATGGAGGTCAGCACTGGCACAGAGTGCTAAGAAGAGCTGTCGGTGGCCAGAGCTTTTTTGTTACTTGTCTTCAGTTCTGATTGAGCAAGTATCCTAACGTGTTAATACCCCGGAAGTTTTGAGCCAGTGGAGTGCTCCAGTGTCCGGGGTGATGGTTCCAGCCGTGGGCTGTGAGTTGTGGGTGTGTTCGAGGTACACAGCGTGCAGGACCTGGAGAAAAAGGCAGGACTCCCAGCCTCATCGGCAGTTTGGGGCACGACCCTGAGAGCCTCTGCTCCTGTTCTTTATCTGCCAGGTGGAGGAGGCAAAATCTGCCCCTTCCTCTTCATGAAACTCTGAGAGGAAAGTGGAGTTGCTGGAGGATTCTTTAAAGCTGTCTGAACTCCCATGTTCCACTTGTAGGTTGCTGGCCCTGGTCCGTTTTGTTTTTCCTTTTGTGTGTTTCACTTTTGCTGTTGGAAGTTTGTTAGCATCGGTCCAGTCAGCATGAAGAGGCTGCCTTTTATAGGTTTTGTCATCATTGCTCCAGAAACAGCAGAAAAAAACCACACTAGTGTTCTCTCTCTCTGTCTGTCTCTCCGTACACACATCTGCCCTTGTTCCCCGAAAACCCGCGTTGCCGTAGCCTGGAGACTTCTGCGCGCACAAAGACACTTGCTTCGGGGGCTGCTTCTCCCTCAGTGCCGCTCTTGCTTAATTTGGGAAGTTGGCGTTTTCCCCCAAAACAATTAACTCTACTTTAACGAATTTGGATTTTACTCTGTGAATGGAGACAATATCAAGTTTCTTTTTCTGAATGCTTAATACTCTTGAATGTCCGTTGAGATCATGGGAAAAGTTTGAAAGTTGTAGATGGTGGGCGGTGGAAAATTATGTCCCATTTTCTTCGATCGAAGATGCTTTTGAAAGTATGAAATGGGAGCCAAGCCGGGCTCGGTGGCTCAGCCTGTAATCTCGTGCCTTTGGGAGGCTGAGGTGAGTGGATGGCCTGAGCCCGCGGGTTCGAGACCCGCCTGGGCAGCGAGACCTCATCTCTACAATAAATCAAAAAAAAAAATCAGCCGGGCGTGGTAGCGCATGCCTGTAATTCCAGCTACTTGGAAGGCTGAGGCGGAAGGATCGCCCGGAGCCCAGCAGGTCGAGGCTGCGGTGGCCGGGAGTGGCCACTGCACTCCAGTCTGGGCAACAGAGTGAGACTCCAACTCAAAAAAAAAAAAAGAAAGAAAGAAATGGGAGCCAAGTTTATATTTATAGGAGAATGATGAAATAAATTACAGGTACAAGTTCATCACATGGGAAAGTTTACAGACACTTCACAGTAATTGCTGGCAGCCACCTAATGCCCAGCAGCACTGTGTGGAAAATGCGGTGAGAATGAGCAGAGCAGCTGGAGGAATACTCTCCTGGAAATAGCCCCTTCGTCTTCATGTTGATGTGTCAGTCCCAGCTAATGCTGCTTTTTGAATGATTGCTAGCCCCCCTCCAGGCAGCAAGCCTTTCGGAGAATGTGTTTCTTACTTACGTCCGATGAGCCCTGTGGTGTTCTGCTGTAGGTGACTCAGATTAATATTCACAAATGCTGAGGTGTTTGTCTATTTAGTGAAATTGATTTCTCCTCTCAGAAGGAACAGATACTTTCCAACACATAACTTTCAGTATGAATATGGATAAAATCATCATTCTGCTCATTTAAAAATCAAGAAATTCCTAGTTTCTTCTGTATGTTTACTCCTCATTAGAAAATACTTAAGTAAGTTCACAGAGCCTTGAAAAAAAAATTTTGGCCAGGCGCGGTACTATAACCCCAGCACTTTGGGAGGCTGAGGTGAGAGGATTGCCTGAGCCCACGGGTTCGAGACCAGCCTGGGCAACATGACAAGACCTCGTCTCTACAATAAATCATGAAAATTTAGCCAGGCATGGTGGCATATGCCTGTGGTTCCAGCTACTTGGAAGACTGAGGCAGAAGCATCTCCTGAGCCCAGCAGGTTGAGGCTGCGGTGGCCGGGAGCGTGCCACTGCACTCCAGCCTGGGCCACAGAGTGAGACTCTGACTCAAATAAAAGAAAAATTTTAAAAATCCTTTTTCTTCTACTTATAAGCCCTCTTATTGGCCATTCTTATTCATGTTAGTGAAATTAGTAATTCTGGTTTTAAAATTATTTTCTCTAAATGGCCCTTGTCATGAATGTTTAGAAAGAATTTTCTTTTCAAAAATTATGTGTTTTGGAAATTGTATTTATTAGCATATAATTCCTTTGAAAAATATTTCAAGGCCGGGCTCAGTGTCTCATGCTTGTAATCCCAGCACATTGAGAGGCTGAGGCGGGAGGATCGCTTGAGCCCAGGGGTTTGCCCGGGCAACATAATGAGGTGTCGTCTCTACAAAGATATAAAAAAAACAATTAGCTGGGGATGGTGGCGCACACCTGTAGTCCCAGCTCCTCAGGAGGCTGAAGTGAGAAGATCACCTGAGCCCAGGAGGTCAAGGCTGCGGTGAGCTGTGATCATACCACTGCACTCCAGCCTGGGCAACAGAGTGAGACTTTAACTTAAAAAAAAAACCTCTTAAAGGACTTTCACTGTAAAAATAATTTTAAATAGGCAGACTTTACCAATTTTAAGATAAAATTTCCTTTCTGCTTTCTAGAAATGTTGTCACTAATAGGTTTGTGGTGTGAATTCTTCTTGGTATTTTTCATGCATAAAGGAACACGTATGTGCATGCATGTATCTTTTTTAATTCAGAGTAAATCGTTCTCTTCGGATTGCTTTTTTGTTCCTACATGGTGGTCTTTCTCTGCACATGCGTGACCTCATTCTTTTTGATAGCTGTGTCGTGTTCCGTTCAGTTCTGTTTTTGGTGGGGAGTTGGCTTCCCGTGAGTGCGTCTGCTCCCAGCTCAGAATGTTAAGCTCCTTACGCGGACCCACAGCCGAGCCATTGACGTTCTGCTTCGTGCCAGGCACTGTGCCGGGTTGTGAGGCTACTGCGATAAGCCAGTTGCGCCCTGAGGGACAGGCTCTGGGGGTTAACGTCTGGTGACATCTCAGCCACGTAGCGGGCAGTGCCCGACTCCTGGTAGCCGTCCCCTCGTCACTTAGCTGTCAGTGTGAACGGCACTTGCAGCTCCTGGCCCTGTCTCCCAAAAGTCGTGGCAAATGAATGTTATTCTTCATGACTGTTCTTACGTGGATGGTTCTGTACATGTTATGATATCCAGCTATCTCCTGAATACGGGTCGTATTTTTATCAACACGCTCATTCAGCGCAAGCTAATAAGACTTGGATAGAACACAGACTGAGCACTGCCCTGGCCACGGCCTTCGCCAGCACGCGTCTGCTCCCCCGAGGGACGGCCTCCGTAAGGACAGGGCGAGGGAGGCATGGCCGCCTCACAGCTCGCCTGAGTCTTCACGCCATACTTGTGTCCTGGTTACACGAGGTGTCGATCGGGAACATCATAAACGCCCCTTCCTCCGGGCACACAGGCTCCGAGACCTGACGGCTAACGCTCCCCTCCTCCTCATGCCTCACAGCCTTCGAGGTGAACACCCTCCTGGGGCGTCCGAAGTCATTGAGATTTAAGGTGGAAAAGCTTTACTCTGGGCAAGAGGCAGATTTCCAACAAACTTCTTCTCGTTATTTCATCCAGTATCTCTACATGTTTTGAAATTAGGGCTGTGACCCAAATGTGAATCGTGGCAAGGTGTTATTTGTCTTTTCACTTTTGCCTTGGAGACGCTGACATGGTGTTATTCCTTTTCTTTTTTCCAGCCGGTCCATATGGAATATTTGCTGGGAGGGACGCCTCCAGGGGCCTGGCTACGTTTTGCCTAGATAAAGATGCGCTTCGAGATGAGTACGACGACCTCTCAGATTTGAACGCAGTCCAGATGGAGAGCGTCCGGGAGTGGGAGATGCAGTTTAAAGGTACCTCGATCCACTGGGTTCTCTGGATGCCATTTCTCGTGCTTTAAGAGCCAAGGGCTGTCGTCTGTGTAGCGCTCTCATTATTAGTTGACAGTTTTTAAAGTCAAAATTGCATTCAGTGACATGTGCCTGCAGTCCCAACTACCTGGGAGACTCGCAGGGCTCGCCTGTGCTCACACGCTCCAGAACAGTCTAGACATAGAGTGAGGCCCCATCCAAATAAAAATAGCAAAAAATAGCTAAATAATGATGGATTGTTACATGTGATAATTATTGAAACCCATGTTTAAAAATTGACTTGTTATAAGCCACGAGTTGCATAAAGTTTTCCAAGTCTTGTTCATTAAAGTATAGTTTTAACATACAGGATTAGTTTGAAGTCAAATTAACCACTGATATCAACATATAATTCTAATGTATCCCACAGTGATTTTCTAGATCTTGTTCTCGACATGTAACAAAAAAAGAGCGTTCCCCTTTCCCACCCCCTCACCACATCAGTTTTGCCACTTGTGTGACACTGGGTCACCTGTTATCAACCATGGACCCCAGAACCTGGCTTCTTTGCACTTTCTCTAGCTCTGTGGTGTGACACAGTCCTCTTCTCTAATCCTTGTAACAGTTAACTCACTAAGTTCAGGCTTGATTGACCTAGCCTCCGTTTCACTTCTGAAAGAAGCACCTCAGCACGTATCACCTTCTATGTGAGGACCCAGAAAAACCCAGAATTAGTTTTTGGAGGGTGGACGGTTTGTACGGGCTTCCCCAATACATGAGTGTTCTGGGAACCCTTTGGCATCAGTGCACCAGCTAGGATTGTGAGAGACTGCGCTTGGCTTCGGTGAATTTTTTTGGAGGTTCTTTCAACACGTTTGCCCATTTCATAATGGGTGATTTACAAGCGCATCTGCCCACACTGCACTGAGTGTTCAGCAGTTTTTGACCAAAGACGACATAACCTCCCTGCCCCACCCTCCCTGTTCACCTGATCTGGCCTCCAAGTGACTTTTTTTGTTTCCCTGGACGAAAAAGTCCTCAAGGGGAAACGTTCTGCCGATGTGGAAGAGAAGAAACAAAAATGGCAGAAGTGCTGAAAGGCATCAAAGTGGATGAGTTCAACAACTGTTTGGAGCAGTGAAAAAAAGCATCTCGATAGGTGTATTGTATCAGACAGAGAGGACTTTGAAGGTGACTGACGTTTAAACCCGTGAGAATAAATATGCTATTTTTTATAAATAAATTCTGGGTTTTTTGGGTCCCCCCTCATACGGTGTTCCCAGTCACACACCAGGTAACATAAAAACGAGCCACACAACAGCGCCAAGGAGAGGGTTTGACGGGGGAAGAGGAATAACAGCACACGGGCTGTGCGCTAAGACCTCAGAGCCGCAGGGAGCACGTGGCGCCCAGCTCCTCGTCAGTGAATGTTTGAGGCCTGCCAGTCTGGTCCTGTTCCTCCCAGTGGGGCCTCCTTACCAAGGAGCTCTCCACCTCGGTCCCTCCTCCACCCCTTCTTCAGCCCCAAGAGAGACTCTGTTTCCTTTCTCATGGTCTTCTCTCCTCCAAAACGTTAGCCCTCGTTTTTTTTATTTTGCTCCTTTGCAAAGTCTAACATATTCATAGATTTTAAGTAACTGTTAGAAATTCCTTACGTTGCCAACTCATTTCCTCGTCATACTACTTTGGGCTGTCTAAGACTTGGTCATGTGAGAGTTCGCTTTAAAGGCCATGTCCCACGTTCCCCCGAAACCCTGGCGGATGGCTCTAAGGCGGGCCTGGGCCTGCATGTTTAAAAGGCTGCAGGTGCTTCTTAGCAGTATCCGATGAGAACCACTGGTACAGAGCACCCTCTTGAAGAATAATCCTCAAACCTGTAAGGTCCCTGGTCTGCTTGCTTCGTTCCGACTTGACGTGTGTGTAAAGACCAGCATGGTGAGGTAACCAGAAGAACTTGTCATCTTCTGTGTGATTCTGAAAGGGCCACACTCTCCTGTATAATGGGATGGGGAGACAGGTGTGATTGCTACTCATTTTCTTTGGGTATGTCTTTCAGAAAAATACGATTACGTAGGCAGACTCCTAAAGCCAGGGGAAGAACCTTCGGAATATACGGACGAAGAAGATACCAAGGACCACAATAAACAGGACTGAACTTTGTAAACAACCAAAGCCAGGGGCCTTCAGCACTGCAGTTCCTACTCCCTTTCACAGAATTTCCAGCGTCTTGGGGTTTGATTCACCGGCTGCGAAAAATGTTCAACAGAGCGTAAAGAAGATCAGTGACTCTCACTGTGAAGATTTGAGCAGTAGACACTGCTCGTGCTGCGAATCTCGTTCGCACCGTTGTCTGGTGGGGCTTGGTCATCCTGAGAGGAGGAGACGGGATCCTTTTCAGAGCAAGAAAGTCCCAGAGTTATGTTTTTCTTCCTCCCTCCCTCCCTCCCTCCTTCCTTCCGTCCGTCCTTCCCTGCCTCTTTCCTTCCTTCCCTCCCTTTGAAAATATATCAAAGACAGCCAGATACGTATTTGCTGCTCAAGTGTACAAATCTCAGAGACAGCAAGGGCCTCGCCTTCGGGTGCTGCGTTTCGCTTTGGCCCTGAGGGAGGCGGCCTGGGCGAGGTGGGTGCACATCGCGTGAGTGCTTCAGGCCACCGAAGCGTTCGAATGTGAATCCCCAAACTTTGCTTTTTGGCTTTGTCAAGGAAGAGGAGCAAGCCTTTATTTCTGGAGAAGTCTTTGGAAACCAGACAGGATTTCAGGTGGGTTTAGGTCAAAGCTGATTCCCCCACAGAAAGCGCATTTGAAACCAGTGTTTATCCCTTTCCTTCCCCCAGGTCAGACCCATGTTAATTGTGCCTTATTTCACTTCCATGGACTTGAATTATTTTTAGGGAAAGCCCCTATGACGAATTCCGAAGTCACTACAAGCAGCATTGAGACCGAAGTTGGAATATTCTGTTGCTCACAAAACCTTGATGTCATTCTGTGTACATAGAATGTAAAAGAGTATTCAGTGTTAACTGCCATACATGTTAAATACACAAACTTCATCAGTGTTGTCATGGCCAAACGCATTCCCTCATGCTTTTCCCTTTTCAAAAAGTTGTCACTTCTAAGCCAGTCCCAGCGTTGACCCCGGCAGCTGCCTGCCGCGGGAGTCCGCCCCACGCGTCGTGGCGTGGGGGTGTGGGGCGGGGTGGGTGCCTGGGTGTGGGTGTGTGTGCACGCCTCGGAAGGGACTCTCCTGCGGAGACTGTAAATACAAGAACCGTTTTAATAAAGCATGTCCAATAAGCCAGACGCGTGATGGACTTTGTGCACAGACCGAGCCAGGGCCCTACTACGGCGGGAAGGCTGTGCGTCGGCGCGCGATGAGGAGCCGCCTGGCGAGGAGCCAGTGCCGGTGAGCCGAGGGCGTGCGTGCGCGGCGTCCCATGGGCCTGCCGCGGGAAATGCCGCTTCGTGGCGCGTTCCTGCGAGAGGGGAGGTTATCCAGGTGAGGACTGGTGTGTTACAACACACATTTTCACTTTGTATTCTGATGCCAGCTGATTGTACCAGAAGTAGCAGCACTCTAGGTGGTAGTTACTGAACGCAAAACATTAAAAGATACTGGTAAATGTGTCATTGCAGAGGGCAAGCGTGACTCGTATTCATCTTTTGTTGTCGGTCTATATTACAGTTTTAATAGTTCTTCCTTCCTTAAGATGTGTATACTATTTTTTTTTTTTGCGTTGGAGTCTCACTCCGTCGCCCAGACTG